ATTCTAATCGTCTCTGTCATTCTGTCTGTTACCACTTGTTTCCTTTACACTAGGTAACCTGGAAAGGAAAATAAGGAACAGAAAGAAATGGATTTGAAAGAATTTCCCTCTCCCCTCTTCTGTCCCAATTTTGTGCCCATTATTCTGGCCTTCTACACATATTACTCCACTTTGGAATCTATTCTGTGGTTAGATCACTGTTTAACTACTCCAGGATGATGAATCCTGGGTGAGTCAATGAGAACAGAACAAAGCAAAGGAGGAAACATTCAGAGTATCTCCAGCTCTTTGTGATTCAGCTCCAAGCTAACTATCATTGAAGAATGTTGAAATATATCTGCTGTATCATACCAAGGATACACTTTCCAGCATTTTCTTTTTTATAGTGTGAAGTTGCTCTCATAAAGAATGGCTAAACAGAACTCGACGAAAAAACGTAATCAGCCTTGATGATCTGTTTAGAAGCAGGGCATACAGAAAATGCTTCCCCTCTGCTCATGCCCTTTGTGTTGAAAAAGAGCGAGAAACAGAGCGTTTCCTGTCCTTGAGCAAACTGGCCTTTCACATTTTTCCTGCATGGCAGGGATTTCAATTCCCACTCCCTAGTCTTTCAGAAAGTGGGTTATTTTTATGGCTACTTATCTCAATATCTGGAGAGCAATGCAGATATATCAGGATGTTGGGTGAAGCAAGCAATGGGTTATTACAAGAGGTTGAGGCAAGTCTTTGACCAGTAGGGAAACAAAGTGCCAAAAACTCTACTGTGCTTCAAAAAAAAAAAAAAGATAATTTTTTCTCATCCCTAAAAATAAATTTCCTGACAGTTAGAACAATTAATCAGTGGAACAACCTGCCTCCAGAAGTTGTGAATGCTCCACACTGGAAGTTTTTAAGAATAGACGTGGACAGCCATTTGTTTGAAATGGTTTAGGGTTTCCTTCCTGAGCAGGGAGTTGGACTAGATGACCTCCAAGGTACCTTCCAACTTTACTACTACTACTACTACTACTACTACTACTACTACTACTACTACTACTACTATCTCTTCTGTCATCTCAACAAAGGATAGCTTCAGAGCTGATTCCAATGATCCTTAATTCAAAAGTAAAAACTTAAAGAACTCAGTATGGGATCATGCATGTGTGTTTTTTTAAAATAATCTTAAAGCAGCTGGTGTATGGCTAGGTTTTTGTTTCAAATACACTGTTTCTAAACTTGCACGCCTTAAATTTCATTAAGCATTCTCCTGAGAGAATACTGTATATTGATCCTCCAGGGCAAGCTGCATCTATATATTCAGCTGGGTAGGTTAAACTTTTATTTTCATGCAGGTTCAACTAAATAGTCTTATATATGTTAATTCAAAAGTCAAGATCATCTTGTAGCCTCTTAGCCTTGAGATTTAAAAAAACTGAGAGAAAAAATTGAGGCCTATCCATTGCTTCCAATTTCCCCCATTCACCTTCTAAAGATAAGATCTGCTTGTTAGCTCTTAATGGAAGAGCTCTATTTCCTGTAATGAAGAAGAATATTGTTGTCAGTTCCAAGACTATTACTTCTGTTCTTATAAAATCATGCTTCCTACATGTATGTATGTGTGTGTATATATAGATGTGTGTGTGTGTGTGTGTGTGTGTGTAGATATATATGGGCCATAGAACGCCTAGAATGGAGTTCCGGCACCTTTTTTGGATGGAACCTTGTAGGGTAGGCAAGGCGGGTTGTATGACATGTGTGAGTTCCAGCACCTTTTTTTTAAAGAAAAAAAGCACTGTGTGTGTGTGTATGTGTGTATATATTCCTCTGATGTACATTGTTGAAAGAATATATTATTTTGAGCATTTTGTCTATCTTCAGAAATAATTATCTGGATATATTTGTTGTGGAAGGGTACATGGTAGGTACAATAGCCATACCGATCTGGGTATGTTACTGTACATTTATATGTGGACACTGTAGGAACAGTCAAAACTAGATTTTCCCTTCCTTATTGCAAGAATAGGGTTAATTGCATGGCACCTGCTATACTTCTTAATCTAGTCTCCTGATGTTATTTCTCATTGGTTTTTTTCCCAGGTTTCTTTTGTAACTATGTGGATTTTGCTTGTGTAACTGTATTATATATATTTCAGTCTAGAGGTAGTATTGTTAATTTTCAATGGAGGGAAAGTAATGCCATGGAACCAGTTCTTCAATATTTGTCTTCATGGATTCAGGGAGGGGAAGTGAGCCTAAAAGTCTCATGATATTTTAGGGTCATAAATCCATTTCTTTTCATTTTATGATAGGCACAGTTTGAAAGAACAATTTGTTTGCTTATCTTGGCACCTTGTTTTCTTTCTATGACTGTTAAGCTATGACAGGGTGAATAAGCTGATTATTTTAAAAATTGTACTTCCACAATACAGTCCAGTACAGTCACATAAAGTAGTAAAATGGATGTATAAATTCCTACTTGAATCACTATGCTTGTAACTTATAGCATTTCCTCATGCCAAAATTATATATTCTACTTCTACTGCATTACATACTGATGTATGTATATAAAGAGTGCCTGTATGAGCACTGAGCAGCAATTTCCTATCAAGAAAACAACAACAGCCTGGAAAACAAAAGCGTGTCACGTGCAAGCAGCACTAAAGTGCCAAGGTTTTGCTTTTGTATTTCATGAGCTCTCGCTCTCTCCCAGGTATACTGCTAAATTGTCTTTACTGTATGAGGAGGATTGTGAAATCAGTCATGAGTTATAAAGTGTTTAGCTTCACAAGGCTGAGAAGAGCTATAAGCAAACTTCAATACATGGTGAATAGGGGCCCCCGAGCAATGGCAAGATTAAAACCGTATTACAAATATAAGTTAAAAAAATCAAGATTTCTGGCTATGGAAGGTTATTTAATTAACAGACATCAATGAGCCATGTTATTCTCATTTAATTAGCAATAGTATATTCCCAAAAACTGAGCCACCAAAGAAGGAAAAACGAAATGGAAATAACAATTTGATCAAGAATTGAAATATGTGTTAGCAGTTCCACCACCAGCACTGAAGTTTGGGCATTTTAAAAGCTGTCTAAATTTATCTCTATAATTACCTGTTCCCCTAATATTGTTCCTTCAACAGTGGTTTGATTTTGTTAGTATTTCTAAGGACGTATAAAAGGTCACTTGTGGGTGTTCTTAGGTATTTTTGCCTGTCTTTAACTTACAACCAATTAAGAGCCCTCAGTTGCATCTGTGTATTCCAAAAAAAAGTGTGATCTGATTTGAATGAAGTTTAAGCATATTTTATTATTTTTGCAAACTCGGTGCATTCTGATACAACTCTTACAACTGTTTAGTAATTAACTCTAGGTTTTTTAGCCTGAATCATCTTTGATCTGGTTTACATTATTAAAACTTTATTTTATACAAAGTAGTTAATTTGGGTAATAAGATCTAATTATGTTTATTTCTTAGGCATATTCAAACTTTTTGACTCCAATGAGTTCAACGTATTCCAATGGCAATGTAGTCATGTACAATATACTAAGGCTTGAAGTCATTCTCCGTGCATCAATTCTTATAGAGCCAAAATGATAGCATTCATGCAGAAACCATCAAAACGATGCCCAGAGAAATTGCATGATTTGCAGAATCTTGAGCAAACGCAGTCCACAATGCAAAATTTTATTGCATGCCTGATTATAAAACAGTGTATTTAGCACTTTTAACTTCTGCAGTACCTGAAGTGTGCAACTGGGAATACATTTATGTATTTATTTCCCCAGGGAGAGGTGGGTATCGGGTTTTGACTCCACAAATCATACAAGAAAATATGCATTAGTAAATTAAAGCAATAAAATAGCTCTAGAAATAAAATGCAGTATTTTAAAAATATACTCTTTCTCAGTAAGATCATGTTTACAGTTAAATATGTCCCAAAGCAATTCATGAAAAGTCAGTCTAATAAAGAATTATTCTTCAATGGGCAGTGAACATCTGTGATCAGAAATGGCTGGGCATGGTCTAAATCTAGGTCCAACCACTGTCAGAAATGGCTGGGCATGGTCTAAATCTAGGTCCAACCGCTGTCAGAAATGGCTGGGCATGGTCTAAATCTAGGTCCAACCGCTGTGTTCTATTGTGTACAATATATATATATATATATATATATATATATATATATATATATATATATATATATATATATATATATATGATCTGATTCTGAAAGGAATGATTTGAGTGCTCTCCTTTCTTTCCTTATTTAGTCTTGTTTATATTTGAACAGGTCTACTCTGTTATGCCCAGAGTAACTGATTAGCTCCAAGTGTGTCTACCCTGACATTTGATTTGATGATTAGATCTTTCCTGCTCATGCTGGTTAGAAATGTGTCAGTAGTGAGGCCTTCCAGATGGGGCCAGCAACAATGCAAGCGAGCATCGAACCACCACAGACATTTGATGCTTATAATAATAAAAAGACTATACAATTAGATTAGCCGAGGCTAATTTGGAATGGGTATATTCCCTGTGCACCCTGGACAGATAAAGACTTGAGATTTAGTACTCTTAGGATGGAGAACTACAACTTCCAGTAAAAGGAGAAAAGCAGCATTCTGGGAGGTCATGGGGGCAGCACAGTGACCTCCAATGATTTACAGGCCTTTAGCTTAATGAAATTGTTTCAGTAACATGACGGTAAAAGCTCATAATGGATTGGATGTCCTAATGTAATGAAATTATTCCCTTCTGCCTTAGAGGGGGGGAAAAGCACAATTAATATTTACTGAGACCTGACAGGCTTCAGTGTGCTGTAGTATGCAGCTCTTTTAGAGAGTCAGTGAGAAGAGACAGAGCAGCGTGGCAGGCTACCAGCAAGCTTTTGCCCGGTGACAAGGAAGGACTGCAGAGGGGTGGAGGGACACCTTGGTGACAGGGAAGCTGAGGACATGGTGCTCCAAGGCAGTGTGGCTACCAGGCAAGCCTTCATCCTTTCCCTTCCTTCCTTCCTTCCTGCAGGCAACTGGACAACAATCAGATCAGCTGCATTGAAGATGGAGCTTTCCGAGCCCTCCGTGACTTGGAGATTCTGTGAGTTGACTTTCTCCTTGTCTCTGGGTGTGTGGACGTGTGTGTGCGTGCATGCACATGCAGAGCCTTGCATGTTTGAGTGTGCATGCGTTGCAATGCTTTTATTTTTATGTCTTTTCTCTGGGTTACCCACATCATTCCTCCCCCCAGCCTCCGCCTTTTGGCTAAAGTGCACAGCCAGCAAACATAAATTTGTCACCCACTGGTTTAAGGTTATTGTTAATTAAACCATAAAAGAAGATTTGGGTTCTTATGGTCCTAAAGAGAAGAGATGAAAAGCTATGCTGCTTTTTATTTTGAACAGATGGGATGTAATGATTCTGTAGGACCTGGTGTTTTCTACACTAAAAGCTAAAACGTTAGCAAAGGATGCCTAACAGGTTTGACTGGTACAATTTTGGAAACAGTTTACAGTTGACTTAGGAAAGAGCATAATTGCCCAACATAGAGAAAGGCATGGAAGTGCAGCACAATGGCTAGGAGAACATCCTATTGTGAAGACTGTGAGCATATTAGCAACTTCATGCCTCTGTTTAAACAACTGTAGTTTAAGTTAGAGGCTTGGTATTCTCAAACAATTTATTTGCAGTAGGACAAATTGTTACAAACCTAAGTTATAAATTAAGGCTATTTGTGAAAGGCTTTTTCAGCATTTTAATTCAGAATTTTTTTTTATAAAGGGAATAATGCATTGTAAAAAAAAACAAGATAGTAGTACTTTATATAGATGGACTATTTGAGCAAATATTGTTTGGGCTTCTTCTTAACTATTTTTAATGAATCAAAAGTGTTTGATGGTGAAAAATGCTGGGTGTAATTGGCATAAATTAGAGGTTTTAAGATGCCCAGGAGAAAATCTTCCTTTTCTGATATGTTGAACTAAAATCTCAAACAGTTATATTCTGTAAATATGCAATTTTATTTTGCATGCCAACAAATGTTCTCAAAACTTTTTTGCCTTTTAAAACATATGCTGTTTCAAGTTCAGCAAAGAGTCAATGAAATTAAGTCTTACCAAGGTAAGAGACCTGATGGACGTTGTAGTTACCTAAAGCTGTTGATGATAGATGTTTGTAATATTAGCTTGCAAACTGGCTTTTTATTGGTCACACACAAACAGGTACCCTATTAACATCCGGAAGTGTTCTTGATGAATTTATTCCACTTCCCCTTATCTGAAAGTCATTCCCATTTCCTTTCTTCTGTCATTGAATATGATAGAAGAAAGGAATAAGTGGGGATAGGTTTTGGAAGCAAGAGACGGCGTATAACATGTTGCTATTTACTGTAAGCAAAGTCAAGACTTTCTCAAGTTGAGCTCAAATGCTGGTGGGAACATAGATACAATCAGTGCTTTTTTTGTAAAAAAAAAAAAAAAAAGGTGCCGGAACTCACACACGTTATACAACCCACCTTGCCTATCCTACAAGGTTCCATCCAAAGAAGGTGCCGGAACTCCATTCTGGGCGTTCTATAACAAAAAAAAAAAAAGCCCCGGATACAATTATGCAGTTCCATGGCAGTAATATGGAGTGCTTTGCCATTACTTCATTCTCGCATACTTTCCTTTCCTGTATGTGTAATGCTGTGGTATTCCTTGGCGGTCCCCCTTTGAATGGAAAACCTTACTAAACTTCTGAATCTAGACAAGGCCAGATAAGTGCTGCCACCTGCTGACAACCTTAGTTTGAATTAGGGATGTGTTGTCTTATTATTTATTTGGTGGAGGGAAGAGCACCAATCCATTGTGATAATACTTTGGCATTTAATATTAGTAGAGCAGCCAGTTTCTATGAAACATTAGTATTTGTATATAATTAACAAAAGCACCTCTTGTTGAAAGATCCATCCAGCTTTCATGCTTTATTTTTATTTATTTATTTTGGCTATTTAATTGGGAATATTTTTCTTTTGCGCTGCAAGATGTTTAGTATAAAAATGTATTTCATTACTGACAATATTTTTAATTCTCTTGATATCTTTCCTTTAAATCACTTCAGTGTTTGAAAACTTGCTAAACATCTACTATTTGATTTTGATTTCTGAAGCACAGACAATCCTTTGGAAATACGTATATGTATAAATACGCTGTGTGAGTAAGTGTGTGTGTGTGTGTGTGTGTATAAAATGTTTATATAGCCACCCATCTTACATCGAACTTTGAAAGTTCCCAATCAACAATTAAAATAATCTCAATAAGAAACAGTTTAAATAAAATGAATATCATTGAATAAACATCGGTTTTAGTAAAACAAGGTTTGTATGTTGCATTGATTTAAATTACAGAATTTGATAAAGAGAAATTTTAAAATGCTCACAAAATGTCACTCTTTAGTCTTAAAAAGGCAAAAAGAGAAAACAAATGAAAACTTGAAGATGGTCACAAAAGAACTTTCAACGCATACATGTATACATTTGAAGCCTAATATCTGCTTTTATAATGAAAGTCTCAATTATGTGCCATTAAACGGTCTGGAAAAACATATGAAATTTTATTTCCTAAACGTTTTCTTCATTCATGTGATAATGTCCATTGATAACAGTGATCAGAAAATTACGGAAGCCGATTGTTAAGCTCTATGAATAATTCACATAACAAGTTTGTATAAAATAGTTCACGTTCCTATAATTTGAGTTATAAGTCTTTCCTTTTATCAAATATACATTCATAATACCAATAGAGACTTTTCTTCCAATATTTAAGATTTATGGCAAAAAAGTAATTTCATAGTCTGCATCATTCATTTATATTTGACAAACATCCATTTTATTATTAATATAGAATCTGTATATGGATTTCCAATTTTTTCAGAGAGCATGTTTGTTATTTGCCATTATAAAGCACTGGACTAAAATTGAGTAGCTCTCTGAACAATGTTTCCAACTTTATATTATTCATTAACCTTCTCATAAATTATTTGGATACAGATTTGTTGTCTTTGCTTCATGTATTATATAATTCTGGTTGATATTTTTACTGTTGTGTCTTCCTTGTGGAAACAGAAAGTTCAATTGATATAGGAAATAATGCTCAATACCATTCCAAGAAATGGAACTGGAATAACCAATGTTCTTAGAATTATTTTGTGCAAACTATTTTTGAGGGCGGGTGAAGAAGTAGAACATAGATATGTCAGTAATCAGTAGTCCCCAAGGTAGGGAAAGAAATTCAAATCTTGCAAATTTTATATTTAATTTTTTAATTTAAGTTAAACAAAATGTTAAGTTAAACAAAATAATTTTAATTTATTCAACACTTCCAATGCATGCATAGAAGGATAATATTCTTTTCAGTAGCAGCCCCTTCTGCTTTATTATACTGCAATGGTGAAAATCTGATACTGTTTAGAACACAGTACTTTATCCAGAATACATAAGGCAGGTGGCAAGTGGCCAGGGGTGAAGGAATTTCTCCTATAATCAAGTCAGAATCTTGCTATTTGTATGTGCTTATGCCTTTGTACACTAAAGTGCACACCTCTCAAGGTATTCCTTTTAGTTATTAAATCTCTTTGAATTCTCACTGTTGGGAGTCCAGTTGAATTCTTCAATATGTATACAATTAGCTCAGCATCTATCAGTCAGGTATACTTACATAATGGATGGTTTTCCATGGACTGTCTTCACTGAAGAAAAAAAAAACACATTTGAAATAAATATAAAGAATTGGCACTTTCATGGCATTTTAGCCTTTTAGTACCAGATAAATGCCTTAATAGGATTTCCCTTGATCCTTTCCTAGGAAATTAAATTTAAATATGAGCAATTATCATTTATTAAAAGCCCTATTTAGGCAAAAATGTACATCTTTTCTGTGAATTGAGTTGTATTTTAACTAGCAGCTTATAAAAGCATCATATTTTGAACATTTTGTTACCAATAAGAAAATCCATAGGGACACAAGCATTGTTCTATTCCCATGAATAGCTTATTTATACATTAGGTCCTGCACATGAAATATAGTTGATAGTCATGAAGTATCCCCTACTCTAAAATTAAAATTAAGAAAGGGGAAATGACTTGGCGTTACAGATGGTAATATATTTCCTCCGCTTGTTCCTCTTTAAGAAATACCACTTCTCATTTTGTGATCTTTGACATTCCTTTGTAGAAATAGTACTGGCACAGCAACCTTTCAGATTACCTTTACACCTGTAGGTTGAATTGTGAGGCATAATATACATTACTTCTATTTGTTAATTAAAATTGTTTTCTTCATTACCAAGAACAGGGGTTTTAAATTATTTTATTCAACAACCTGTTGTTTTGTGAGTTATGTATTTATTTGTATCTAATTAGATGTGGTGTTTAAAATCATGACATAATTCTAAATAAATGAGGCATCATTGCTTAATGAATATCAATGAATGGCAAAAGGATGTGATTTGTTATTCTATTTTGCCAACAAGTATCATCAGTTTAGGCAATTAGAATTAAATGTGGATTGTGTGAGTTGCATTCATAACTGTCACTATAAAAGCAGCATATTTAATGAAGAGCTTCTTCTCTGTTTATATAAGGCTTTAGAGTCTGTCTTGAACTGATATTGGATACAGTGGGTTGTTTTTAAAAATTCTCTGTTTAGATATAATTCACACTTAGCACAAATATAATAAGGAATATGTTTGAAACACAAATGCATAATTGGCATTATTTTATGTAGAATTAATTCATTTTATTAAGTTTGGTATATTGAATTTTCACATTGTTGAGGTGGAAATGAATTACAGTGGCTGTAGTGATTTGTTTCATTTAAAATCAGGACAAATGAAGAAAAATCCAATTTCCTAACTCCCAGTCTATTTTTTTTTCCCCGCTTGGAAGCAGATCAAAAGTCACACCTGCTTTTGGCAGATAGTTTTGAAGACATGTTCCAAATGATTTGTGCAAAGATGGCTAGTTCCTTTTTTAAAAAACAAAAAAAATCCCTCACTAACTATCTGGAGATGTTCCAGGAGAAAACTGCATCAATATACCCACTAATTTTAGTTATCAGTCCC